CAAAATTAGTGCCCGCTAATGACACTTTTTTTAGTAATTTATAACCATGTGGATTTGACCATTGCTAATCTATCAAGATATGCTGTCTTCTCTTGGGAATATAACGTGCCAAAGAGTCGCACTGTTATAGGAAACTGTGGAGAAATGTATTATATATGTGGAATGAGTACAAAGACGTGGTGGTTATGGTGTTTATTTAATGAAAAATTTTACATTTTAAAGTTCGGCAATTAGCTTGTGAATTTGAGTCATCACTAATTTAATTGGGTATTGCTATTTGCACCACCTTTTGATCAAAAGTGAATATAAAATACTTTAAAATTGTAAAAAGGTGAAATTTTGTAATAATTAATAGGTGGTGTAAATAGTCAAATGAGAATACATTTTGCTATTTACACCACTTGATCAAACTTGCAATTTATAATTTATTAATTCAATATTTAACTAATTAAAACATTAAAAAAAACACACGAAACGTTACCTTCTCCGGTGAGAAGGCGAGGGGCTGCCTTCTCCGGTGAGAAGGCAGTCCCTTGTCTTCTCACCGGAGAAGGTGACGAGAATTTTATTATTATTATTTTTTAAAAAACTTTGCTGCCTTCTTCAGTGAGAAGGCAGCCCGGTGGGTTGTCTTATCACCGGAGAAGGTGATGGGTGGGTTCATCTTCTTTTTTTTTTCTTTTTTTTTAAATTAATATTTTGATGGTAAAAAAAATAAATAATAAATATTAATATTTGACCACATTTAATGATAGTGAATTTTTCTATTTGCACAACCTATAAAGCTATTATACCTATTAAATAGGGTAGTGTAAATAGCAAATTGGGTGATGCATATAGAATTACCCATTTAATTTCTAGTTGGGAACGTATTATTGAAAAATAACATTATTATCTCTTCTTTTTTTTTTTCCCTTTAAAATAAAAAGTAAGCGCACTCCACATCCACAAGTTCAGTCTCTTCCAATAATTTTTTCAGTGAAAAATTGACGGAAATTTCACCAAAAAGACCATTTATGCTAATAAATTAATATTTGTCGATCAAATATGCAAGTTTTAAAAGTTATGAATCAAAATTGTTAGTATCACAATTCTCGTGAGGTCAAAAGTGTAAAAAAAAAAAATCCATATTTTTAATCTATTTGAGTATTTTACCACCATTTCAACATCCGATTCACTCCACATTTGTAAACCAAATAATTAAGGCCTTGAAGTAGAGCCCATGTTTTCGCCTCCATAGAAAAGTCACTCTAACATTATTCCTAAAATGTCCTCGACTATAGTGATTTTTCTCAAATTCGTCCTAAACGACTTTGGTGACCTAATATCGTCCCAGATTTTTGTGTTTCGCTCAATTTAGTCCCAGACTTTTGTGTTTTTGCTCAATTTAGTCCTTCATTTGTTATTCTGTCCATTTGGTGTTAAATAAATAGACAATTTAGTAATTTTAATATTGGCATCTCTTTACTCATAGATATGTGAACTGCGAAATCTTTTTTTTTTACGAATTACTCCCAGAATTACTCCTAGAACTGCGAATATAAAATTTGATTTGCAGGTCCGGGAGTAACTCTGGGTGTAATTTGTACAAGAAAGAAGAATTTCGCACTTCACAAGTTGAAAGTAAAGAGAGATCAATATTGACATTACTGAATTGTCCCTTTATTTAACACCAATTTGACGGATAACAAATGGAGGACTAAATTGAGCGAAACACAAAAGTCTGGGATGATATTATGTCACCAAAGTCGTTTAGGACGAAATTGAGAAAAACCACTATAGTCGAGGACGATTTTGGGTATTAACTCTATCACATATTATAAGTTTTTTTTTTTTTTTTTAGCTTTAAGTAAAACTTTAGAATTGTATAAATTTTTTTTTAGCAAATACCAATTTTGGTCCCACGAGTATTAGCAAAATGACAATTTTGGTCCACATCTTTAATTTCTACCGATTTTCATCCACGACTATTGTTTTAATACCAATTTTCATCCACTACTATTGTTTTAGTGCAAAAATTAATTACTCCGGTCACTCCTTCGTTTAAGACATGCAGAAATATGAAATTATTAAGTGTATTTTCATCATTTTCAAATTAAGATCCCAAATTGAGTATGAATAAAGATATTTAAGCTCGATCCTAATTCGTTGTTCTCCTCATCAAATTATGGTAGAATGAGTAAGAGAATTGCGAATTGAGATCAATCTTAGGGCTTACATCCCTTTATCCATACTCAAATTGGGATCTTAAGTTGAAAAGAACAAAAATATCCTTAAATATTTTGGATTTCGACATGATTAAATGGAGGGATAATCGTGTGATGAATTTTGGCACTAAAACAATAGTCGTTGATGAAAATTGGTAGGAATTAAACATGTGAATTAAAACTGTCATTTTACTAATACTCGTGAGACTAAATTTGATATTTGCTCTTTTTTTTTTTTCCCATCAAAAGGATGGGACAACCTAGGCAATCAAATACTAATGTATATCAATGATTCTCCTTCCCCAAGTGATCATTTTCAATCTCTTTCAAGAGCTCCATCAGAACATTCGTAATATCAAATTGTATAACTTAACAATACTATATGGTTGCTCTAACTTTTTGTTTGGCATATAATTAAAAATATTTAAAAACTAATTATTGTGCAAACAGGATTATTAACCATTTTGTAATTTTGTCTATTATTTTTTACTTCTTAAACCTTCAAACGAGTTGAAACCCCTCTTACTTTTTACTGACTTTGTTGAGGTAATGTGCTAACATGATCAAATCAAATTCGTAATTTTCAAGTACAAGAATCATACTCTACCCATTAACTTGGTCACTCATTTAGAAACTTTTATTCAATTATTGTGCATAATATAGTATGTAAGACACTCGATTATATATATATATATATATATATATATATATATATATATATATAAAATTACCGGTAATATTTTTGAAAGTTACTGGTTCTATTACATTGTAGTATCTGTTCATATACTTTCTCAACCTACTGAAACACTCTCAAACTCATAATCTTCCAAATGGAAGTCCAACCCGGGTACCATTAGACCACATAGTCCTGGTTAATTACCGGTAATATAATATCTATGTTTCTATCATCTTAGGATGCTACAAGTGGGGAAAAAGCTAAGGATAAATGGAGAGAAAAGGAGATGGAAAGGGAAGAAGGAAAGACAAAAGCAAAAGGAATCTGCTATCCATCTATAGGACCACGGAACATGAACATGGCAGCTTCTGTCCTATTATGTAACCTCCCTTCCCCATTTTAAAAATGTCACAGCGACTCTTACCAACATCTTCTATTTGGTATAATTTACCTACTCAATTTTTTTTTTGGGTACAATTTACCTTTTTTATATAATTTGCAGACTATTATACAATAGCAGAGTTTACATAATGCCCGCCATCAAATAATAGTTGCAAACTTCCCCGTCACAAAAAAAAAAAAAAAAAAAAAAGAAAAAAAAAACATTATTACATAGAATATAGGCTTATTGTATAAAGTGACATATAACTTGAGTAATCTCAACCAAACTAGTCAGATTATTAGCTTGATAACTATAAACTTACAAGTTCTACTCTCAACGAAAGTTACTCATAGGCTCAGTATAAAAAAAATATACCCAGAACTTCTTGTGCGCAGTAAACAAAGGTCTATTCTCTATGTTCAGCTGAGTTAGCTAGCATGATTTATATCTCCTAGATGCTCTATCGAGGCTCGGGGCGTGGGACCCTTGGGATCGGGGATAACCTTTTGGGAAGAATGAAAAAATAGATGCACCCACTACACCGTTTTCTATACCAACTTAGTTTTCCTTATTTAGGTATAAAGATATGGTGAAAGTTGTTCACTTGTTGTGGCGCTCACATGGTACAACAATGGCGTGAAATTGAGATAGATGCTCCGATCCAAACAAAAAGACAGGATCAGATGCTCTGATTCTCACTGGACGACACATAATAGAAGCAGTACACTTCAATTCATCCCCTCACCTTCAAACAGCAGGCCGCATATATAAGCATTATTATTATTGGTTTGGTCCACTGCATGGAAAGTAGAATATAATGCCATCGCAGCCATCATCCAGAAACCACACGCGGACAAACCGTTTGCATTATTGCCTCGTGGCTTTCAACGACAATAAAAGATGTCAGACCGAACACTGATAGATCGATCATGCACACCATTACAGTGTACACCTGCTGGCTGGTCCTCCATTGTTAATAGCGATCATTATTTCAAAAAGATCGAGTTTGATAGCTCTACTTTGTTGACAGTCGAGAGATACAGTATTCCGTTCTTACTAAGCAGTAACCAATATAAAGAGAGTTGATAACTTTATTTTGTTGGCAGTATGTAGCGTGATGCAATGTTTCATTCTCAATCCAAAAAGAGTTGATAGTTTTGTTTAGCGTATTGCAGTGTTTCATTTCTATGGAGAAGATCAATGGAAAGAGAGTTAATAGTTTTGTTCTACTAACAATGGCAAAATGTTTCATTCCGACCGGGAAGAATCAATTAAAAAGAAATTAATAGCTTTGTTTAGTTGGCGGCATGGTGCAATATGTCATTTTATCGAACTAAAAGCCTAAGTTGATAGTTGGATTGCACATTAATGGATATATGCTCAACACGCCCCTCATGTGTGCAATGGGTTTCAAACAACACGTAAACCTTACGTAGAGATTCAGTTGAAGCATGCTCCATCTCAACTAAAAGCTTAAGCTGATAGTTGGATAGCACGTTAATGATTATATGCTCAAAAGGAGAAAATCAATCCAAAAAAGTTAATAATTTTAGCAGCAAGGTGTAGTGCTCCATTCCTAATGGGGAGGTATGGAATTGGCGCCCTCATGAACATGGGGATGTGGACTGTTGGGCCTGCAATCATTTTGGGATAATGTGTCATTCATTAACAAGAAATTTACAAAACAATTCAAGACCTGCTGATGATGAACTTTATCCCAGAATTCATACGACTCAAACTTGGCAAAAAAAATGTTTGTATTTATTGCACATTTCAAGATTTGGGATTACTGAATTCCCAAACAGATCAATGCATACACTGAAATTGTTGTGTTGGACGCTGGAAAAAGTAACTTGATTTTTATTCTCCATACTGTATATGTCAAGAATTTTAGCAGATAAGATGAGATTTAGCTAAATTTACATATAAACATTAAGAATTTCTGTTATCAATTACAATGAACCTGAAAGCAGCAGTGAAATTCTAGTCTGAGAGATCTTTGCCCTAATTCAATTCCTTAGTCATAGTTGCCAGTTACCAGAATGGAGAAGAGGAAACGGAGAAGCAGCAGATAGCAGACAGTGTGCCAGGATTCCGGCCGCCGGCCGGTATCCGGCAACCGGAGTTGAGCTTCTGTGCACGCCATATTGCATTATTGTATTCTTGTTTTCCTTAGAAGGTTAGGAAGTAGTTTGTTAGTTAGCTGTCCAAAAGGGGAAATTCCAAATCTACCCATCTCGGCATATCCAATCTTCTTCCCCCGCCATCGCCATAAAAGCCGTTTCCCAGTTCTTCACGCATCCTGTGGTTCTGATCCAACGGTTGGAGTGAAGTATCAGGGAGCGAAAAGCAGCCATGGCTTCTCTACCCGCCCGATTGATTCTCTCTCTGCAATTGCTGATCCTGTTGTTCGGATCCGGCTGCGCAAACCGAATCCGCGACGGCGAGGCTACGGAAACCGTGGAATTGCAAAAAAACCGGCGAGAGTTTGATTTCTTCAAGCTCTCTCTCCTGTGGCCCGGCACCGAGTGTAGGCACACGCGCCGCTGCTGCTCCGCCAACGCCTGTTGCCGGTAATACTCACAGATATAAGCATATTATACGTTCTATGAATCTTCAGCATTCGTTGAGTTCAAAATTCGTAAAATCTCTTTGTTTTTTGAAATTGTTTTACACTTTTGTGATCTGCGCAGCTCGAACTCGCCCACTGAATTCACAATCCGTAAGTCCTGCATTTATGATTCTGTTGATTTGATAAGCAAACCTGTATCTAGAAATGTCTATCGTTTTTGCAGACGGACTCTGGCCTGATTACAATGATGGAACTTGGCCAGCTTGTTGCAAAGGTTCCCAGTATGATGAAAGAGAGGTAAGTTTGCTAAATATCATGATCTTTGAATTTGATTTACAAGAAAATACGCAGTTGTACAAATAAGAAGGTCAATAGACAACTCCCATAGAAAGTCGAACTTATAACCTTATAGTTATCAAGAACTGTTGGACCAACTTAGTTCCTTGTAGTTACCAAACCACCTGTTCGTCTAATTTGATTCTTTGTAGTTACCAAGCCAACTGTTTGTCCAACTTGGCTGGGTTACCTTGCTAAATACCATGATCTTATGTGATGTTGAGTGTAATATATATGTGCAATCTTAATACCGGTTTAAGTAATAAAACGGATCATTTAATTTGGTATTAGAGTATTTTGGCACCATATTTCGGAGCCTAGACTTTTCTAAGGTGTGTTGCATATCTGTTCCATATTGTAGATCTCAACACTGGCAAGTGCAATGACAAAGTACTGGCCAACTTATCAATGTGGTTCTTCATCTACTTGCCATCACAGCAAAGGATCATTTTGGGCTCATGAGGTTTTCAAACATGAAATGTTTTCTCATTGATGTTGTACAATATATTACATGAAAGTATGAAACTAACTACTTTTCCTCCATGGCTGACTCTGGTGGCACTCATTTGCAGTGGGGTAATCATCTTTTCCCATTTTCTGTCTTTGATTATGACTGTTGATAGCTCTGCATTTTTGGAATTTCTATTGGTTACCTTTTCACATATACTACATACAGTGTTCTTTTAGACAGAAGCAAGAAGTTCTTTCCTTATATTATGGAGAAATTTCATTTGAATTTCTACAGAGAAACATGGAACATGCTCCTATCCAGTTGTCCGGAACGAATATGAATACTTTTTGACAACTCTGAATGTTTTCTTCAAGTATAATGTTACGGTAATTGATCCATCATTTTCAGCTTTGGTCTACGAATTTGGACCTATCAGGTTCCCAATACGCTTCATCTGTTTATCTGTGATGGTTGCTTTGTCAGGAAGTGTTGTACAAAGCTGGATATGTGCCCTCAAATTCTGAAAAGTATCCATTAGGAGGCATCATCTCAGCCATTCAAAATGCTTTCCATGCAACCCCAGAATTGACATGTTCTGGTGGTGCTGTTGAGGAGCTTCGACTATGCTTCTACAAGAATTTTGAGGTTAGATGAACATGATAGAGACTTCTGCATTTCTCTGTTAGTTAATGTTTCATTGTTCATTCTATAATTCCCAAACATTTTCTCTCGAAACAGAAGCTCTAATCGTTGTTCTTTCTTACAGCCACGCGACTGTGCTACACAATCTAGCCTCAATAGTTTCAAAGGCTCATCTTGCCCCAAGTATGTCAGCTTACCTGCACAGACATCAGCATTGAGTAAGTTTTCTGTTACCAATTTATGATATCTGTATTTGTGTGATTCCGACTCATTTACCTATAAATAACACTGGTTGAGCACCAAACGCGAATTCCATTAGTGGCAACTAGTACTAAACGGATGTTTTTAAAGAGAAAATTCTTTTATTATCTAACGTCGAGCTAGCATGTTAGACAGAGTTTCTTACCCGACTCGCAAAATAGTAGTCCTTTGCCTTTTGGTCCTATTAGTTCACCAGAATATAATCTGGGAGTTGATTTCAGTGTTCAGTCTGTTAGGTGGAATCTCATGTGCTCTTGTTATGTCCTTTGGTTTCAGGGCTAGCAAACAATGAAGAAGAAGCATCTTTGTCTACAATGTAGATGGTTGCCCATACTTGAGATTACCATAATGCCAAATGGCAGTAGCTCATTGGTTTACATATATATTGTTGTGATTAGTATGAATTACTCTGTGATCCATACATCAACTGGCAAAAATGGAGTGTTGACAAGCTCTCATTGTAAAGGATATTAGGTTGGGATTATCCTAGCAAATTTTTAATTTTTTTTGTTTTTGGTGAACATCCCAGCAAATTCTTGATTGGCAAGATGATGTGGCATTTGCAACAATATATATATATATATATATATATATATATATATTCTTGTTTGGATTACAAATTTACAATGCAATACAAAAGTTTCTGCACCTTTTGTACCTCCTTTTTTTTTTTTTTTTCTATTTCTTTATTTTTAATATTTAAATGTAATTGATATAAATTAATAATGTTATTTTTATACATTGAGATTTACTTTTTAAAGTTGATTGGATTTGCAGGGATGTAGTTTAAACAGTAAATGATTTACAAATTGGGTGATGTGAAAGCGGAATCCATTTTTGAAAGTGAGAAATTTGCAGGAATAAGAATAACCTTACAAATTATGATACTCAAGCAAAAGAAAAAGAATGATAAATATATGTAGAGTTATACTTCAACCATTAGGACTACTAATAAATGTTTATCTGGACTACTAATAAATGTTTATTTTTAGTACCATGAAGGTCACTTTTAAATAATATATTAAAAATGAATATGTAACTAAAAAAAATAAACTATGAGTATACTAAAAATAAACTTGTATGTCAGAAGTTACTTTGCAATATAGACCATAATTCACGGTGTAATAATTGTTAAAAAAACTCTCTATCACAAGTTGATCTCTTAAAGAAACTTCTCAAATCAAAATTTGAAGAAAACCTAAATAGAAACAAAAAAACTACAAATAAATTCCTAAAAATTATACACATTGTGAAAGAGAGCAAGTACAATACCCCTATATGGCCTCATGGATGTTTCAAAATTCTAATTTTGGCAGTGCTAAATTGAACCAAGTATATGTGTACACCATCTTCGAGTAGCGGTTGAGGACTTCCCTATAAATCAAAGCATATGTACACTTCCCACCCAAATTTGCACATTACAACAACATATAAATTCTCAAATCCTACCAACCTACTCTAATTGGTCATGAAGACATTAGGCACAACCATACATGACAGACATATCCTAAAGAAGAAAAGCACCATGCATACTCTCACTCATGATAATATCATTGCCAAGTATATTGAGAATTAGCAAGACAGGTCATTGGGCCCTTCCAAAACCTGAATCACAGCGAAGGAAGGAAGAACCAGGGCTAGCTTCGCGTCTGCAAATGCAATAAAGCACGGCAGTGAAGCCAGAGTTTGCATTTCACCATAGACTTGATAGTTCAGATGTACATTAGATGATCCACAAACAACAAGCCGGCTTAGAAAAGCAGACAAGGAGATGAATTGGAAAAGCTCAATGAAGACACACCATTCAAATGGTTCCTCCTTTCATGGTAATCTGCAAAATATTGCCAAAAGAATGAAATGATACAACATTACTACCTCGTCCTTCGTCTGAAAAGATGGTAAATTAAAACAATAAATAAAGAGAAGCATAAAAAATTTAATCCCATCAAACCTTGAAATTCTTGCACAAGGTGGTCAATAGGAAATAGGAAGAGTAAATTGCGTGTGGCCGGATAAGGCTTTAAGCTATCACATTGAGCAGTATCTCTTCACTTGCCAAAAATGAATTTCAGCCACGTAAAGAAGCAGTAATTTGATATATGACCTGGTAGGTCCGCCTGTGAAAGATCAGAATGATAAGGAAATAGAGAAACATAACTATCCCACATCAACTCCACAGTTATCATGCATTACTTAAAGGCAATATCATACACGAAGAATAAGAACAGATTGTAACAAAAGGCAGGCAAAAATAGTTAAGAGGACAGTTGAAGAGGGAAATAATTCAATGAAGGTTAATATTAACTTACACTAGTCCAAGTGAAGGAATACCCATCAGTAGAGAGCAACCAGTCGTCAGCCTTAGATTGCACATCTAACCTGCTACCATCAAAATCTACTAACTCATTGTCATAATCTTCGTCTGAGTCAAAATCCCTTCTCTTTTTCTTCCTGCGGGAGCTCTTTCTCTTCCGCTTAGATCTACCAGAAGACCTCTTATCCCCTTCATAGTCACTCTCTTCTGAAATTTCATCATGATTTAACAATGAGTACTTTGCAGACTTATGAAAACCTATGCCATTACTAACAAATAAGGATTCCCAGGAATCAGAAGTCTTAAATGCTTCTAACAACTGATAATGGAAAGCCCAAGCCTGCAGACCCAACAATTTCATCAATTCTAAGGGCTTCCTTCTAACACACTCTTCAATGATTGGAGCAAAGCTACTGGAACAATTTGAAAATGCACAAATCTGGGAAGCAATACTTCTAATTTTTTCCTTTTCCTCCATATCAGCTTCTTCACGCACCAGTAGCAAAAGTTTACGGCTTTGAATAGTAAGGGCATTCAACAAAAGTAGCTGATCAATGGAACTACTACCATGGCACCTTGAAAGAATGATCCCAAGCCAAGATGATGGATTATCAAACTTCATGGTTTCCAACCTTGGGTTAAGATATCTAGGAATCAAATCCAGGAAAACAGATAGCTCCTGCTCCTCAAGTACAACAAGAAGATGATGACATAGAGAAGAAAAAGATTCTTCAATCAGAAAAATATCTATAACTTCCCACACTTCTTTCGAATTGTCCTTGTACATCAGGTCAAGAAACATTTCAATGAAAAACTTGGTATCAATTGACAAAATCTCACCATCTTTTAATGACTCAGAAAACTCCACAGATGACCAAAATTCTGGCACATATTCAAGAAAGTTTTCTACAGTCCTCTCAACATCTAGATCAAGAAAGTAATGAGGCTTTGTAGCAACCATTGCTGGTGATTGCCCATGTTTTCCCCTCCACTCAAGCTCCTCCCAACAAATGTCCCGATTCACAAAAGCAAATTTTGAAAGTGCCTTAGCTCCTTTACTGTGTAAATCACCAGCTCCTCCAAAATTAGAGAACCACTGCAAAATACGTTCTGAGTTCCCTGCATGATTTACGATTAAAATATAAAAATGTCTGCCACACAGACATGATGTTGCATTTGAGAGAAGAAATATTAGCGGAATGCATTGAGGAATTTAGGGTCCGTTTACTAACAGAAAACTGTTCTCTGTTTTCGTTTTCTAATTTTTCAGTTTTCATTCTCTGTTTTCTGTTTAGAAAACTTGTTTACTAACATAAAATTGTTCTCTGTTTTCTGTTTTCTAATTTTTTAGTTTTCACCTAAAATTTAGTTTAAATAATATTAATATTTTTGAGCTAATATTTAAAATATTGTTTTTGGATATATTCATTTGAATGACATGTATATGAATATATAACTTTTACTTTGAATTCTAATATATGTGAGATTTCAATATCCGATATCTAGACCGAACTTGTATTGTGATGTAACATAATTAAAAATATTCGAACTAATAATCTATTGAGTTCAATCAAAATCTAAAACATTATATAGAGTTTAATTCTTAATTTTGATAATGTAAATAATGTCTAACTTTAAAGTGTAAGCAAATAAATTATGTTTAAATAAGTAAAGTAAGTAGAAAAGATAGAAGATAGTGATAAGTAAAATAAGATGATAATGAATGTAATCATAGTAATGTGGTTATAGTGACATATAACTAAATAGATGATAAATGATTCTGTTTTCTATTTTGAAAACAGTTTTTAAGTGTGTTTCAGTTTTCCAGAAATTTCCAGAAATTATTTTCAGTTTTGAAAATGGAAACTGTGTTAGTAAACATGTTTTCTGTTTTCTATTTTCCAGTTTCCGGAAATTCCCAGAAATTTCCAGTTAGTAAACGACCCCTAAAAGTGGGTTTAGCTAACCACACAATTAATCAATTTTAACAATAAAAGTCAGTAAACGATGGCTCAGATTGGAAAAGGTGTACAGTCATAAAATATGGTATGATTTTGTTGTGCTAACTACTATTGTCCAAACCTAATGTACAACATTTCATTGGCGAACCCCTTTTTGTACTTTGTATTGTAGACTAATACCATTGAAATATATAATTTTTAGAACTTTGATCCAACAACTAAATACATTTTTTACACCTTTGTTATCTAATTATCTTTAGTAAGAAGCAGATAACTGAACTTCCGTATATTGTGCTTGTAGTTACTTACTATGTGCAATAAAAATGTTCACTGCTCAAGGTCCCTGCACCATGCAGTATCTGAGGCAATACAATTTGCAGAACCTCAAATGTCTGCTTTCATACAGGTTTCTGGTGGCAAACAGTCAAAGGACTAAACATTCTATTTAGGGTACACTGATAGTTGGATTGCACATTTATGTTTATATATATTATATGCTCAACATAGAGTTTCTAAAGATTTCCAATTCTCTTTAGTGTTAAATCTGATAGGAAACTCACTGAGTTCAAATGACTTGCCTTTAAAGAAATCTTCCAACAAGTAACTTTTCTTGGCAATGATTGGTCCAGCTATTTGTGGCAGCTTTTCAAAAAGCAATTGTAAAATTTGTGCGGCCAGACGCTGCCGCTTTACTGTCTTATACCTTAACAAGGCAACAAATAGCTCGCGCTTATGATGGGGGGTAAGAGAACTTATGCCTGCAAGGGAGTCACAGAGCCAAAGCCGAGCTTCTGATCGATGCCCAGATGATATCAAAGACCATATAACAGATTCTAGCTCCTTGAGAAGAGACTTTCTCTGCTCAACTAATATATCATCTCCATTGTCATTTGAGGCGGGTTCAGAGAGAAACAATTGGAGCATCTTATATCTGCAATATCTAATACCAGAACAGTGGAAACTTAATCCAAAATATGCTGTTCAAGAAAGGGGCACTAGTACAAAAGCAACCATTTTTAAGATGTTGATTGTAAAGAGTATCATCAACATGGATAACATGAAAGAAAATAAGGAAAAAAAAAAAAAAAGAAGAAGAAGAAGAAGAAGAAAGAGAGAGAGAGAGAGAGAGAGAGAGAGAGAGAGAAAGATGCCTCTATAATTCCATAACCGCCATAACATGAAATTTATAAAAATGAAAAATATGGACATGAAAGGATCTCTCAAAATGCTAGAAGAGAGTACCTCAAGAATTATTCTACTGAATAGACTGAAGTAATTACTCCACCAACAGAATCAGGGAGAACATTAACGAAAGTAATTACGGAGACCTGTACCCAATCAACCTTCTGAAAGGGTTTAAGCTCTTAATCCAATACTTTCCCTATTATGTTTGCATCATATCTAATTCACTAAGATTGCTTCTTAAACCGAAAAATGAACAAAAAAGACTACCTCAGTTGTTCTCCAGTTCAATCAAATAAATAGTAGATAAAGCATCTCAAATGGTAAAAAAGCAGTAACTTTTTCACAACATTTTTTAAAAAAATCTATTTTATAATTTAATACTTATCCAAAACATGCACAAGCTAATATCAAGATCTCAAATTCACCAACTTAAATTTAAGCATATTAGGAATAACTCAAGCACTATGACATTCAGCATCAAGGGAAAAACATAAAAACAAAAAAAACCTCTATTTTTTTAATCTTCACTATAATAATTAATCATCAATTTTTGGTAGTTTTCCTTGCAGCATATAAAAATTATGCACTCCTTAATGAACCTAAACAATAATTATGCTTTTTTAAAGGAAAATTTTACTAAAAACCCTAACTAACTTTCGTTACAGCGCACCAGAATTTAAACAGAGGATGCGATTAGGTGAGTAGGTGACTGCTTACCGGAAGAGAGGCTCGGAAGGCCGGAGAAAAGTGGAGCGTAGGCGCAAATCGTTGAATGAAAAGCTCAAAATGATGGGCTTTTTGCGCAAATTATTTGAATGAACAGCTCAACCGACCCGAGTATATGATGGGCTTTATGTGGGCCTAGCCCAATAACTATAGCACGCTTACTTGAATGAACAGCTCAACCCACTCGAGGAGCAATCATTATATTATAGACTGTGGTAGACTTTACCATATAAATCATTAAAGTATATTCATTATTAGTATACTGAATGCTCATTTTTAATATATTAAATATTATTTTTTGTGTATTGAAAGTTCTTTTGTAGGTATATTATTAAAAAAATAATTTTTAATACATTAAAAATGAATATTCTACTATGAACTTGAAGTTATTGGAAGACCTTATGTGCAGAGTGTACAGACAAAGTGTGGAAACTAAGGATTGATGAGGTAGCTCGCAATTTACCACCACGACCGACTCTCAGGTACGTATTTTGGAACTTATGATTAATCTAATGTAAGGTGGGAAACATTTATATGTGATCCACAATATAATTTGTCCCGAGCAAATATTAATTTTGGTCCCACGAATATTAACAAAATGACAGTTTTGGTTTATATGTTTAATTCCTACCAATTTTCAGTCATGACAATTATTTTAGTACCAATTTTCATCAACAACTATCGTTATAGTGTCAAAATTCATCATGTCGGTCACTCCTCTGTTTAAGACATACCGAGGGGTATTCACGTTTGCCATATGCCTGCTCTGACCGAATCTAAAACTTTTAAAGTATTTTCATCCAATTCAACTTAAGACCTCAATTTGAGCATGAATAAAGAGATCTAAGTTCTAAGATCGATCTCAATTCGCAATTATCCTCTTCATCCTACCTTAATTTGAGGAGAAGAATTATGAATTCATATCGACCTTAGGGTTTAAATTCCTTTATTAGTACTAAAATTAGTATCTTAATTTGAAAAGTACGAAAATACCCTTTATAATTTAATATTTCGGCATATCTTAAACAAAGGGTAACCAGTGTGATGAATTGTAAAACAATAATCGTGGATGAAAATTGGTAAAACAATAGTCGATGAAAATTAGTAAGAATTAAATATGTAGATCAAAATTGTCATTTTGTTAATACTTGTGGACAAAATTGGTATTTGTTCAATTTGTCCCAAAGAGATGATGGGCTTTATGTGGGCCTAGCCAGTAGGTTCAACGTGTTGCAGAGCAGAAAAAAGATCAGTAGCCAGTAGGGACGGGGGAAATATCAAATATAGGATACAAGTAAAGAATCCATCGATACCCACCGTGTTCAGAAGAAGCAGAAAGGCAAATACTACTCGGCAGCTTTAAGGTTTCAGCTTTCAGTCCTGTATATCAATCTATGTATCTAATACCTATCTATATGTATGTGTGTATATACATTCAAACGCGATTATGTTTTTATTGTAGCCGGATTGTCTTCTTTTTTTTCATCGTAAGTATGATCTTTGGTTAAGGTTTTTGGTCTTTGATGATGGGTTTTTATCCGTATCGAGGAAGCAATTTGACGAAGGGGTATTATAGATTGGGAAAAATGCATTTACAGAAAAAGGATGAAATTTCATTTTTATACCGAAAATTTGCAGGATGTGATCAATGAAATTGCTGAGGGTAAATTCTGTATTTCTGATTGAAAAAGGTTTTGACTCTGTTACTTGCAGGGGATTTACTGATTTTTTGGGTACTTTGTTGGATGTTAGTTGTTACATCACAGTTTATTCCATTTTCTTTGTTTTATTGTTTCTTTTCCCCCCCTCAGGTGGTATTGAGATGTTTCCACTGCATTGATAATTCTTATGGGCCAAACTAATGTGATAAGTCTGTTGTTTGTGGCTGGTGTTTGGGTGGCATCATATGCGTTGGTAGCCGTGGTTGGTATCTTTCAGATATTCAATTGCCTCAGAACTTCAATTGTGGGTTAATCGAAACATTTGGAGAAGCCTTTAAGGGGAAGGAGAATAGGCAAGAGCTGTGATTGGTTATGCTAGCTGGTTATTGGCCCTGCAGCCAGTGGAAAGTCGAGAAATCAAACCCTACTAGGTGATTATTTGACCATTTGTTTGATTTGGGAATGGATGAGAACTGAACTCTTCTCTCGTGTTTCTGTTCTTTAGAATTTCATCGAACGTTGCAAGTAGTAGATATATCAATCTCTGTCAGGTATGTGTATCTTCGTATTTAGATGTTTCATGCTTGCCATTGGTATTCTTATTTATTTTTGTCTGCAGATACTTGAATTGAAAGCCTCATTTGTTGATAAATCAATACATGGCTCCACAATTTCAGAAGCTTAATACATGTCTTATGGAACTGGTAAGCATGAAAGCTGTTAAGTTGTACTTCCATTCCCGAGTCTGGAGAAATTCCAATTTAATGAATCGGGATTTTGTCTTGCTTCCAGCCAGTACTTGCATACTACCCTTTTGTCTTTACATTGCACCAAAATTTAATCACGGTTGCTATTAGTTTTAGAACATTTCCCAGTTATCATTGTATCACTTTAAAAATTAAAAGCCTGTGTGTTGCCATAAAGGATTTTTTGCTACGACTTATTCTGCTCCCGTTTCTATGTTATGCTTTTGACACACATTCATGAGAAGATCTTTGATAAGATGGAAAATTCCCCAATGGTGGTTCTCTTTTCTGAACTTTTTAATGGCTTGCAAGTAAGAAATTTAACCTTCTAGTTTCCCGAGCATCCAGGCCTGTTATATATTGTAAAATTCTTCTAATTTGCATATGCATCTATAATATTGCCAGCCATAAAAGGGCTCCATGAGGCTTATCTGTTGCCTGATAGTCCTCTTTTCCTCCAGGTCAATACACATTTCACGATTACCTTTTTGCCGCTTGGTTTGTGTACAGAGAAAAGGTAATGTTCCCTAATTCCCGGAGTGATGAATTTTTTTGAACGTCCTCCAATACTTGCTTCTACTCTGATTACCTGTAACGGACAATTTAAGAATTACGGGGTACCATTTGTGTCTTTTGTTAGGTATCGAGAAAAGTGGAATTCTTTATTTCTTTAACATCACAGTCCATGCAATTCCGAGCCTTAACATAATACCAACATTATGTTCTGTTTTCCCGCAGTATACAGTACATCCTGCCACGGATTGACAACTGCATTCAGTACAGAAAGGATGCATTTTAAGATAAAAGATTTCGATGCAGAGGATGGTGATGAGATTGAACTTTGGTTGTTCCTGGTTTTTTGTCCATGAAATTTTCCACCCTTCAATTTTTGTTTTGTTTTGTTTTGTTTTGTTTTGAATGGGTTACTATAGTTGGTTTTTGAAATTCATCACCAAATTGTGAAATTGATTCTGCGATGAGTTTTGGATTTTTTTTTTTTCACATTTCAATCTGCATCAGCTTGTAATTTTCAGCAATCTTTCCCTTATTGAATAAATTAAAAGAAAAAAAAAAAGTTTTGTTCCATGCATGGATGTGCCCAAACTCAACTGGATTCAGGCACCTTTAGAACAATTGTTATACCGTAGACTATGGCTTAGATTGCAAGGTGGTCCATTGACCTAAATGTTTATTTTTAGTATATTGAGAGTTCACTTGTAATATATTTTAGATTAATTTTTAGTATGTTCATTTTTGGTGTATTATAGATTCATTGTGTTACTACCTAAAAATAGACATACGATACATTAAAAATAAAGTTTTAACATATTAAAAATGAACATATATTAGTGGTCCACATTGCAATATGAACTAACCGTATATCACTGCATTATGGTTTGAGGTCTTCAGCTATGGCTGGCTAGCACAATACCTTCTATAGTTCTACTTTATCAGTTAGAGCAACCCCAATAAGGGGATTATGCACAGGTTTTGAGAGAAAAAGTTGGGAGGTGGAGGAGAGAGAAGGGAGGAGTTGGGTTTCTTTTCCCCTTGTGTGAGCCCTATAAAGAAAAGAAGCAATCAGAAAATGACACCTTATTTGAAGTTTTTTTATTATTATTTTTCCTTTTTCTTATGCTGACATTTTGTTTTTTATTTTATTTTATTTTTTTTTTTAACTTTCTTCTCTCATTTTCTCTTTCCTAATCACACCTACAAAAACTCTTCAAAAACCACACTAAAATCCCCATTGAAGATGCCCTAGAATATCAATTTGACCTTATATTGTCCCTTTTATTTTTAGGTCAATTTTATCTCATCAGTTCAAAATATACCCTTTTTACCGCAATGTATTTTAAGCAAACCTAATGCTCAGCATAATTATGTTCGTAAACTAATAATCTGAGGAATTTTAGGTTGTTTTGGGCATTTTCCGTAAGATTTATTTGTTTAAAGCAAGCACGGAAACAAAGACATTTTGTTTCATAAATTCTTTTATAATGTAATTGATTAATGAATTGACTACGACGATCTCGGACTGAAGGGAATGGATGGGAACATAATACGTTTGATGTAGAGATGTTTAGGCGTACAAGTGATGCATATAATTGCCTAAAAACGAAATCTGAGACTTAATTTAATTTGGCCGACACAAGATTAAAGTACAAAAAGTTCTGAGCAAAACAAAAACAGGTATTTCACTCCAATCTTACTACTAGAGTACTAGTAAATCCACAAACTCGAAACAAAGAGAAAAAACAGGGATCGGGCAAAATTGAGTCTTCGATTGAAATGAAAGATAAAACAAAATGGAAATATAGGAGAAATGATTTGGAGTACGTTGATCACTCATCATCCGAATCATCATCATCATCGTCATTTCCGGCTGCTGCATTTAGTGCATTCAGTCTCTCTATCAACTTAGCCCTCCTTTCATCATAAGTTAGTTTCTTTTGGTTGAACCTACAAATAGACACAGAGATAATGTGTTAGGTGCATCTCTATAATCAGACAACATTTGAAAGGGTAAATTTAAAAACTGCACAAAATATAGCAGACCTCTTGTGCTCCTTAGGTGGCTGCTTCTCGGACTTCTTTGGGCTTGGATCTGCGCGTATAGCAGCATGAACCTTTTTGTACAGAGCCTCAATGTTGTCTGCTTCAATACCCTTTTTAATGTACCCGCTAAAATGAGTTTGGTACTTCTCAGGCTCATCTTCATTCAAGCTCTGGATAACCAAAAAAAATAAAGCCACAAAAAAAACAAGTTAATAAGAAACCAAATAGATCAGCACGGAATTGTGGCACTAGGAACTAGCAATAAAGATTTTTCAGTCTATAACTAATAAAAGAAGCTATAGTTCGGAGAGGAAATCATCATCAAAGCAACTGGTTCAATGAATCCGCGGATATTAAAAATGAGGACAGGAGTAACAACCCTAAGAATAAGAAACATCAGTATGTTCCAACTTACATTCATGTATGCTGCAACATGTCCTCCATAGATGTACTTGCGGTGAACCTCAGCATCAAGGTTCTTGGAATCCTTGGTGAATCCAGCAAACCTCTTTTCACTGTGAGGAATATCGAGTCCACCATCTAATGCACCCTGAAACCAAGAATAAAATAAATTTGGCATCATCCCTTTCTTTAAAACTTGGTTCAATAATATAAATTAGATTTTTATTAAAAACCCCAATTTAAAATATCAGTAGATGGCCAGTAGAGGAATGACCAACATAATCAAACAGAGGGATCACACATGAAATTTGTGTAGAATGCAGAAAGATGTTTGAAACAAACTAGTCTAAATATTAATGTGAAAATTGAATTCAATGGTTACATGTTAGAAGTATTGACCAGAGGGTAGAAAAAATGCAGTTCCATGCAGTTGTTCTTACAAGACCAATATCCAATGATTACAATTTAAAAATTACCTTCAGGGCACCAAAGACACGGTTCCCAGTGGTTGTTCGGATAAGACCAACATCCAGAAGAGCACGGAAAGGCCTCCTGCTTTCACCAGGTTCAACAGAGTAGTCCTCCCCGGTAGCCTGTTCATAAGATAAAATTTTTTATTAAAACATAAACCAAAGTACATACTTACAAAGAAATACTATACAAGAAAGCAATGCCAATTACCACTCACCTCAACATTTCCTTCATACTCCTGATCCATTTCAAGTTTTTGGAGCAGTCGGCGAGCCAAAAGAAGTCCGGTGCAGTAGGCTGAATTGAGGAGTAAAAGATGATAAACCAAATTAACAAAATTACATTAAAAAAAATAAGAAACAGATAGGCAATGTAGGGATGGGCACCTGCAGCATAATTGGTAAGACCAACTTCAAGGCCATAACGAGGGAGTTCATTAGCATAAGCAGAGGCAAGAATCATATCACCAGCAATACTAGCAGATACAATTTGAGCAACTATGTCCTTGTTGGTCTATGGACAAAGTTAAAGAAACAATCTGCCCAAAATTTAGGCTTCAAGCACAAAAAACAGAGAACATTTTTGCAGAAACAATCATCCAGAGTACTAATAATGTGTCTTAAATTTTGAAAATATAAAGAGTGGTATTGAAAAACCAAAATAACCAAAATGCAATGCTGCACTAAAAACTGTTACAAAATTACAAGTGAAGCAAAAGCAGCAAGTAAACTTTTTTTTGAAACTGGTAATTCAAGCAACTTGCAGCAGATTGATCAAGAGGACATTCAAGTAAAAAAGAAATGTTTTAGGATACAAATCGGACAACAAATCGGTACTTTGGAGTGTTGTACTTGTTCTTGTCCTGGTTGATCAGCCTATTCCTGGCTCTATAGTCAGTCTTACCCTCTGTGCATTAACAAAATTGTTAAAAACTACAATGACAAAAATAATCACCCAAAATGATTACAACTCTAGGTAATACCTCTCCTTCTCTTGAACTTGACCTGGAAACGCTTGAAGTAAGCCCTTGTCTTTTGGACCTTGATGAAGGCCTGCAAGTGAAATTCACAAACAGTATCAACACATGATATATTAGCAAATCCGCTCTAGAAATTAACATCTACACCTCATTTTACACATAATTTTTTATCTTCATTTATTCACCCGCCAACACAAAAGACTTGCACCGTAGCTTCAAATATATTACCAAAACCCTAATACATGACCCGCGAACTGAAAATTTTCAATTTCTTATAGCATATCGGGGAGAAAATCAAATAAATATGACAGTAAGTTCCTAAACAAATGTATACAGCAATCACAGGTCCATAACTGAAATGAATCTAGCTTGCCAAACAGTGATTAAGCATGAACATAAGGCAGATACAAATGCATGAAACCAAATGTATACTTTAGATACTTCGTAAAACAGTCAGATTCGCAGCTTACCATTGGTGCTGTCGATGAGCTTCACCCGCGGAGCGGTGTTTCCTGGGGAGAGAGATAGCTGCTGCGAGGAAGAGCTCGTAAGAGCTTAAATAACTACCCCGTACTAAAACCCTAGTGCTTCGCTCAACCCGCGTTTTTTATTGACCCTGATTCCCAACCGGGCCGACGATATGGATCAATGCAGGCCTAGAATCTTGATATGTTATTGGGCCTTGACCCGCTGTTTTTTGGACTTTCAAAATGTCTTAGAGCATCATTTGTTGAGGTTTTTTGTGGGCTTTTAGATTGCTAAGTAAGAAAGAGGAAAAAAAAAAAGAAGTCTGCTAACTAAAAAATAAAAATAAAAAGGTTGATTAACGCGCCCAGCCTGGCATGTGGTGTGTACTCGTCGGCAAATTATTGTGTAGACCATGGTCCACACAGTGTTATGTGGACCATAATAAAATGTACATTATTTTTGTAACCGTAATGAAAGGAACATAGGAGTTTGTCACTAGGTATTTGACCAAATAGGATCGTCCAGTTCCTATAGAACCTATCACTAAAATACCCCTAGAGGGGGATAAAACTATTAGCCCCAGACGAAGTTTGCGAATAAGTGATTGTCTGATAATGAGCAAGGAATATCCGTCTTTCTGCTAAACAGGATATATTGAACTCATAATTCATTAGATGCCTTTGATGAATGTCAACCAAGTATCGTAAGTAAATTGCTCCCGATTATTCAATCATTTGATAACCAGAGTCATTCTTTGATAAATGATCACTATGAGTCAGACTCAATAGAATTCTTTTTTCTGTCGTTACGGCGGAGAGCTGAACCAAGAATTTTCTTTCTTCCTCATGAATCGAATCACTGTTCGCGACCCAGGATTCTATTTTATCATCAATCCAATCCCCGTTCACGTTTTTTCTTTTTCTTCTCAATGAATAGATCTCTTTACTTGTACAATATAATGTACACTCAGTACAAAAATAATGTACATCCCCTGAATACAATGTATATTATTTTTGTACTGAATGTACATTATTTTTGTAATGAATGTACATTATTTTATAGTATACAAAATATGGTCCTCACAACTTGTATGGAAAGTGGTCCACACAATAATGATTGGTACGCGTCCGGCTGGACGCTTTTGGTGCGTCTTACGCGCATTAGGAGACAACCTTATTTTTTTGTCGTTGGGCCCACTGAATCTGACCAAAACCAATGCCTCATACAATAATCTAATTTATTCTCTCTCATCCATATGTGTATTACCACCTCTGCAAAAGCCTTCCAAAATTCTCTTATTTGGAATACTTTTAATGATAACCGGGTCGATTTAGCTCACATCTGCCAAAGTCATGAAATTTTAGTCTATTAAAAAGAGTTAATACCCAAAATAGTCCCTCGACTATGTTGTAATTAACAATTTGGTCCTCGACTATCATTCTTACCCAATTAAGTCCTCAATTATACAATTTTTGGGTAAGAATGATAGTCGAGGACCAAATTGTTAATTACAACATAGTCGAGGGACTATTTTGGGTATTAACTCTTTTTAATAGACTAAAATTTCATGACTTTGGCCTTCTATTGATTTATACGATAATATAGAACTGGAAAATTGAATGCCTTGCTCTTAGCTCTTATGATACGAGAATACAAAATCTAGTACAGTCTACATTATGATTTTAGATTTGCTTACTGGCCTTATTCATTTTGCAGAAATTGCCACAGTATCCATTGCCAACACATAATGTTGTTGTGAGAGGTGTTATTCCTACTGAGTTTGAGGTAGAATATGCATAATTAGTTCTTATGTTAACCCTCTGTTGTTGGGACTTGGCAATCTTGATAATAAATGTTCTTTTATGGATGCAGCTAAATACTGTTGCATATGATGAAGGGCATGGTGCCAACTTGAAGAAAGAGCTCTTTCTAGGGGATGCAATATCTGATCTTCCTCCGGTAAATTGTTATGAATTTTTTTTATAGGTGTATTGTACCTGTGGTTATTTTAGCTTATATGGTGTGGTATTACAGGTGGAGAATAATGAGAAGAGGGATGATATGGAATATGTTGATAAACCTGGGTCTGAATTCCAGCAGTTTATAAGGCTTGGGAGAGATGGTTTGCCTGGAACGTTGCACGATCACTGTCCATTACAATTAAATGATGATGACTATCAACGTGTCTGTCACATTCCGAAAGCCAAGGTATCAAAAATTCTTTGAAGTTTTTTGGTATAGAAGTTTTGTTTTGATCCTCAAAAATGCTGAGCCATTGTGTATATTATGTTAGGGAGCTGCCAGGTGTTAGTGTTGTAGACAATAAAGTGCACTGGGATCCAAATGTAGAGAGGGTATACTTGAGTTCAGGGAAACCCTTGGTATGTTTGTTCTTGTGCTTTTCTATTCACTCACAAGTGATTCTCTTTTTGAAACAGGGTTTGGGTGTGGAATGCTTGGTCAGGCTGAAGTGGCAAATTGGCTCTCTCAGAGCAAGCTTGCTGCCAAAGTAGCTACCTATTAGGAAAAGTCCTGTTGGAGTTTATGGTTGTTGGAGTTTATGGGTGGCTTCCTATTTCCAAGCAGTTTCCTATTTCTTTGTTTTTTCAGCGTTCTCTCCATCTCAAACACTTCATGCCAAGCTGCCTTTTGCCGGAAAGACGTCAAATTTCAGGTTAATGCCTGGCCTAAAGTAGGATTTGGGTGGTAAAAAAGTTGCAGCCATGAAGCCGAGTCACTGCTTTATTCCATTGTAAGTTTGCTCTCTTTCTGAGACAATGCAGAAAAAAATCAACAAAGAGAAGGGAAAAAGTAAATTGGGATAGCCCAGAGTCTAAACTCTAAAGAAAGAAATTACCCACCTTCTCTGACTGGTAAAATAATTGATGAATGGCCCCCATGCCCAAGTGGTTCTCGATCACTTGTTGTCAACCACCAAAAGCACCCAACAAGCCCCCAGGCATATCACATCAAGCATTGCCTGGAATAAGCAGCAGTAAATGTTGTGGTTATAAGGAGTATTATTTTTCTATGTTTATTTTGTTTCGGGCCCTGGGAAGGGGCAGTGCTTAAAGAGTGTTTTCTTCAATCCATTGTAAAAAGTTGCAGCCATGAACGGGGGTTCAGATTCACTGGTTCCATTGGGACTTGGGAGTACGAAGAATAACATTTGCTGAAGAAGAAAAAGGAAAAGGTTTTAGATTTTTTAAAACCCCTTTGACAGCGTATTTTTTTTACTCTGGGCTAAAGGTTTAAGCAGAAACAGTACAGGTATTTTATTTTAATTTTTAGTTTTCATCTGGTCAACAATTGATAGCTCCAGATTTTATTTAGAAAAATCTTTTTAAAAATAATTTTTATTTTCTCATCTTTCTTAGGTTTTTGCGCTTTGTTATTTTTGTTCTAGTGTTGTTTTCCTTATTTTTATCATTTTTTAAGGGTTCATTTTTATTTAAAACTAGTGTTGTGTATTTGGTTTTGTTTTAACTCTCTAGCACCCAGTCCCAAGGCACCACCAAATTGGTTTTGTCAATGCTTTTCAAAATGTTGCTACTTTTACCCCAATTTTCCCATGAATAGAGAACGGTATAGAGAACAAAATAATTTATTTGGGATTTCAATTTCAATTATCACATGTACCGACTAGAGAACACAGTATCCCTATTTTCCCATGAATTTTCCCTTTGTGCCGTTCATTTTATTTTTGTTAGCATTAAAGGACCCTATTTTCCCATGGATTTCCCCTTTGTGCCGTTCATTTTATTTTTGTTAGCATTAAAGGAATATTTTTAGTTTGAATTGTGTATTCCAAAGATCATTTTAAAAATAAAAAAATATAGGAAAAAAGATCGAAACAAAACAATGAACCGGTTAAAAATGGAATATTAGCACGATCAGCATAACAGAACGAACAAAATATTTCAAAAAATACTCGTTGAAATCAAGCACTTGAAAAATGCTAAATTAAGAAAAACAGCTAAAAAAAAAAAGGGTAAAACAATAAATCGGTAAAAAGAAAAAATTAGTGCAAAACACAAATAAAACAAAACGAAAAGAGCACAAATATAATTAAGCGAGACCCATAAATGCATGAAAAACATTGGAAAAATCAAATATTTAAAAAGTACTCTTTAGAAAATAAACGAGACGAAAAGTCAAAATAAAAATAGACAACATCGGAAACACATGTAAAGAAAAAACGCAACAGACAAAATACACGTGAAAAATACTAAATTAAGAAATATAAAATAGTAAAATAGACAACATAAAAAACACATGTGAAAAACACAACAGACAAAATTTAACTACTAAATTAAGGAAAACACTAGCAATGTCAAAAATAATAAAAGAGAACTCCAAATACCAAATAATCCAAGAACACATTCAAAGAAAAAATTAAGAAAAACAAACTATTAGTAATGTCAAAAATAATAAAAACACATTCAAAGAAAATCAGAACGAATAAAATCAAAAGCACAAATATAATGAAGCGAGAAAATAAACACATTGAAAAGTGTGTACGAAAGGCACAAATATATACAAGGAACTATACAAAAAGAAAAGCTAATGCATGAAAAAAAACAATAAGAACTTCAAGACATTCAGAAACACATTCAAAGCAAAAACATCACCCAAATGAACACACAAGGAAAAATGCTATAAATAAATACGTCATAACAAAAAACAAAAAACACACAAATATAACAAAACGAAATAACTCCAAGACAATTCAGAAACACATTCAAAGAAAAACACAATGGATAAATATAACAACAAAGCAAAAATAACACGATAATGAACAACTACGCAAATGAACAAAATGAACGATAAAAAGTAAAAATTTATACACGAACTCAAGAGGAAACACATTACATAAGAACGATAAAAAGAGGAAATCAAAAATATAACGAGCTCAAGACATTCCGAAACACATTCAGAAATTACATAAGAACACTTGAAAAATGCTATAAATTAAAAAATATATATCACCCATGCGTTAAAACAAAACGAAAAGAGAACTCCAAATAATCCAAGAACACATTCAAAGAAAAAATTAAGGAAAACAAACTATTAGTAATGTTAAAAATAATAAAAACACATTCAAAGAAAAACAGAACGAACAAAATCAAAAGCACAAATATAATGAAAGCGAGAAAATAAACACATTGAAAAGTGTGTACGAAAGGCACAAATATATGCAAGGAACTATAGAAAAGGAAAATTAATGCATGAAAAAAAAACAATAAGAACTTCAAGACATTCAGGAACATATTCAAAGCAAAAATATCACCCAAATGAACACACAAGGAAAATGCTATAAATAAATACGTCATAACAAAAAACAAAAAACACACAAATATAACAAAACGAAATAACTCCAAGACAATTCAGAAACACATTCAAAGAAAAACACAATGGATAAATATAACAAAGCAAAAATAGCACGATAATAAACAACTACGCAAATGAACAAAATGAACGATAAAAAGTGAAAATTTATACACAAACTCAAGAGGAAACACACTACATAAAAAAGATAAAAAGGGAAAATAAAAAATATAACGAACTCAAGACATTCCGAAACACATTCAGAAATTACACAAGAACCCTTGAAATATGCTATAAATTAAAAAATATATATCACCCATGCGCCACATTCAGAAATTACATAAGAACACTTGAAAAATGCTATAAATTAAAAAAAAATACTGAGTAAGTCAAAAATACTCATGAAATAAATATTCATAAAATTATCTTTAGAAATACGCAATTCAAACTAAAAATACGCCAAAAGAACACTAACAACAAAATATGAATGGGGTAAAAAAGAAAATTAATACATGCAAAAAAACAAAAAGTACACAAACAGCAAAAAGAAATCCAAAACATTCAGGAACTTCAAAGCAAAATGTTATGAACAAACATAACGAAACAAAAATATCACCCAATACTATACAAGAACACTTAAAATAAATATGTCATAACAAAAACAAAATGAACAGTAAATAACATGGGAAAAAAATGCATGAAAAAAAAAACACACACACACACACACAAATATAACAAAACGAAAAGAACTCCAAAATATTCAAAAACACATTCAAAGAAAAATGTAATAGACAAAAAACAAAACTTACAAATATAACAAAGCAAATACAGTAAAAACATAAAGAGAAAGAACTAAAAACTACACAAGAACACTTGAAAAATACTATAAATAGAGAAACAACTAAATACATCATAAATACTTGTTAGTAAACAAATGAATGTTCAAACTAAAAATATGCTAACGAACAAAATGAACAGTAAAAAGAGAAAATTTATACATATGGACAAATTAAAAAAAATGCAAAAATATAACAAAACAACAAGACATAAAACACAATAGACAAATATAACAAAACAAAAATAACCAAAAACTACGCAAAATTATAAAATGATCTATATTACTATACAATTCAAACAAAAAATACGGTAAAAGAAAGCTAACAAAAACAAAATAAATAGTAAAAGGTGAAAATTACTGCATGGAAAAAAAAACAAAAAATAAACAAATATAACAAAACAAAAAGAACTCCAAAACATTTAAGAACACAAAGAAAAACGCAATGAACAAAAACAAAAATCACAAACATAACCAGCAAAAACAGCACAAAAATCCAGGAAAAACATAAAGTTAAAAAACTAAAAAAAAAGTACTAAGGAGTGTTTATGATGTATTTGGTTGTTTTTCAAAAAAAAAAAAGTACTAAAATTATAAAATTATAACGAACAAAGTGAGCGGTAAAAAAATGCAAAAATATAACGAAGCGAAAAGAACTACAAAACACTCAGGATTTAGGAACACATTCAAAGCAAAATGTAATGAACAAATATAATGAAGCAAAAATAACACAAAACTACACAAAATTATAAAGCGATCTATATAACTACACAATTCAAACAAAAAGATACATAAATGAACAGTAAAAGGAGGAAATTAGTGCATGGAAAAAAATAAAAAACACACAAATATAACGAAACGAAAAGAACTTCAAGACATTCAAAAACACATTCAAACAAAAATGCAATGGACAAAAACAAAAATCACAAATATAACAAAGCAAAAATAGTACAAAAATGCAAGAAAAACATGTATATGTAATTTGTAAAGCATACCGTGCCGCATCCGTCCGCAACTCAGGCACCAACGTGCCGCATCCGTCCGCAACTCAGGCACCAACGTGCCGCATCCGTCCGCCACTCAGGCACCAACGTGCCGCATCCGTCCGCCACTCAGGCACCAACGTGCCGCATCCGTCCGCAACTTAGGCACCATCGTTCCACTCATATACATATGCAAGGAAAACATGTATATATAATTTGTAAAGCATACCATCATATACAAATACACAATCATATGTATTCCCCTCCCCTTTCTTCCCAGTCCAAAACAAAACAAACACAGAAAAAATAAAAACTTAGAAAGGGAGAAAGAAACCAAAAAATTTACCTGCTCACTGCAATCCTTCTCAACCTTCCCTTATAATTAGCAATGCTTGATGTGAATATCCTCGAGCTATGAATTCTGTTCTAGTCAAAAAAATTGTTAGATAAATGAAATTGAAATCCCTAATAAGGTACTGGATAATTCTATTTATATTTGAAGAGTTGGGAGCAACATGTTGAAAAGCATTTACAAAGCCGATGTGATACCTTGTGGTTAGGTTGCTAATGTGATGGTTGATGGCGGATCCTCAATGCCTAGATATTAAGCCTCTGTG